AAGTACTTTAACAAAAAAGTGAAGAGACAACCTACAGAATGGGAGAAATTATTTGGAAACCATGTATCTGTTAAGGGCTTAACATCCAGAATATATAAAGAACTCCAACAAGTCAACAACAAAAAGACAAATCAATTAAAAAATTAAAAAATGGGCAAAGGACTTGAACAGATATTTCTCCAAAGAAGATACACAAATGGCAATAAGTATGTAAAAAGATGTTCAGCATCATAATCACCAGGGAAATGCAAATCAAAACCACACTGAGATACCACTTCATCCCTTCGAGGATGGCTATAAGGAGCCCTGGTGGTACAGTGGTTAAGCACTTAGCTGCTAACTTGAAAGGTTGGCGGTTCGAACCCACCAGCCACTCCCCAGGAGAAAGATGTGGCAATCTGCTTCCGTAACGATTTACAGCCTTGGAAATCCTATGGGGCAGTTCTACTCTGTCCTGCAGGGTTGCTGAGTTGGAATGAACTCGACAGCAGTGGGTTTGGTTTGGTTTGGTTTTGGCCTGTCTCCAACCTCATTTCTTCCCATGGCTGCCCCTGTTCCTGCTGTGTCTCTGCCTCTGCGTTCCCACTATCCCTGCATCCTCTGCCTGGGATCAGTCCTACCCCTGGATCCCGGAAAGAGAGGCCTACAAGTGAGGTGACCACAGGCCAAGGGGACCCAAAGTCCACACCCCTCCTTTTAGATGATGCTCTAAACCAAAAAAACTGTTGTTGTTGAGTCGATTTTGACTCATAGTGACTCTATAGGACAGAGTGGAACTGCCCCATAGGGTTTCCAAGGAGCAGCTGGTGGATTCAAACTGCCAACCTTTTGGTTAGCAGCCGAGCTCTTAACCAGTTGCCATCAATTCCAACTCATAAAAACACCATGTGTGTCAGAGTAGAACTGTGCTCCATAGGGTTTTCAATGGCTGATTTTTCTAAAGTATTTCACCAGGCCTTTCTTCTGAGGCACCTCTGGGTAGACTCGAACCTCCAACCTTTCAGTTAGTGGCCAAGCATGTTAACCGTCTGCAACGCTCAGGGTACCTGGAATGCCAGCATTCCCTGCCCGTATGGCCCCAAGCTCACCTCCAGGATTTTCTCAGGACTTTCCCCTTGAGCCAACCCTCTGAAGGTGAAGTGTGCTGCCCCCACCAGGACCAAGGGGCAGCCAAGGGCGGCTGTGTGTGGGATGGAGCAGGGATGGGCAGAGAAAGGAGGCGGGTCTCAGGCTGATGCCAGCTGTCCCTAAGTCATCATTCTCCAGAGTGGGACACCCAGGTGTCAAGATTTTAAAGTTCAAGCCTCCCCTTCTGGGATAACTATGAAGGTGTATTTATCATGATGAATCCCTGGGTGGCACAAATGGTTAAGCACTCAACTACTAGCTGAAGGCTGGCGGTCTGAACCTACCCAGAGGTGCCTCGGAAGGCAGGCCTGGCAATCTGCTTCCGAAAGGTCACAGCCATGAAAACCCTATGGAGGAGGTTCTATTCTGCACACATGGGGTTGCCATGAGTCAGAATCAACTTGATGGCAACTAACAACAATTCATCAAAGATAAAGCATATTTGGTTTAATTTTTGAATATTTAGATACACAGCAGGTGGGCCACCATTTGTACTCTTGCCCAGACTCTGCAAATGTTAATAGTGGGTCTTTCCCCTCCCTTCTGCCTCACAACCCAAATACACACTCATCTTGCAATACAGCATGCATACGCATGCACACACGCACGCACACACGCTCTCTTCTGTTTTTATCCCCTTATTCCACTGGAGAGAGGCAATCAATGGTGGTTCAGTGGTAGAATTCTCAGCTTCCATGTGGGAGACCCAGGTTTGATTCCTGGCCAATGCACCTTATTGGCAGCCACCACCAGCCTGTCAGTGGAGGCTTGTGTATTGCTATGATGCTGAACAGGTTTCAGCAGAGCTTCCAGACAAAGATGGACTAGGAAGAAAGGTCTGGTGATTTACTTCAAAAATCAGCCAGTGAAATCCCTACGGATCACAACAGTCAGAGCTGCAACTGATCAGGGGGATGGCACAGGACTCCACAGGGTTATGTTCCCTTGTACATGGGGTCCCCACAAGTCAGAGCCCACTGGATGGCCGCTAACAACATTTCACTAGAAACAGCTCTCAGATCTTTTTTGCAGTCTTTGATATTTTTATTTGACGTTGAAACTTTCTTGGAATCTGTGACACTGGGCTCCTCCTTTTCTTCTCCACTCGCTCCTTCAGCCCCCAAATGTAAACATTCCCTGGGGTTCCAGCCTTGGCCGTGGCCTCATCTACACACCCTCCCCAGGTCAACACACCAGAATGTCTATGGCAAGGCTGGTGCCCCTCAGCCCACATCCACATGCTTCGAGATGGCGTAACTCTCTGCCCACAGCTGAGAATCATGACAGTAAATAATGTTACCCAAACTAAGTGAAGAGGGAAGAGGCAGAAAATAATCACTGAGAACCAGAGCTCTGCAACTCGATGCCTCACAGTGGGTGACGGTATGATGGGTGTTATCGGTTGAATTGTGTCCCCCAATAATATGTGTTGAATTCTTGGCCCTTGTACCTGTGGATGTGACCCTGTTTGGAAATAGGGGGTTTCTTCTGTTATGTTAATGAGGTCATACCAGTGTAGCATGAATCCCAAATCTAACCGCTTCTGAGTTATAGAAAGACCAGGATAGACACAAAGGGACACACATGGGGGAAGACCGACACCATGGAGGACTGTCTACAAGCCAAGGAACCAAGCAACTCTTGAGGCTACCAACAAGGAAGGGAATCGACAAGCCTGGGACTCTGATTTGGACATTCAGTCCCCAGAACTATGAGAAAATAAATTTCTGTTCTTTAAAGCCACCCACTTGGGGTATTTTTGTTACAGCCGCACTAGGCAACTGAGACAATTAGAAAGACCAAGCGTTAGTCTTCCTCTGGCAGCCAAGGAAGAGTTGAATAGAAAGGCCAAGAACCAAGTAAATCCCATTAAAGAACAAATGGGTCACAACTATGACCTCCCTCCTGGGTGCTGCACATGGGCCAGGGGTCACTTCTCCATTCCAGCAGGCACCTTACTGGGAAGGAGCCGCCACCACCATGGTGGAGAGGAACAAAGTCTCAGCCAAACCTGTAGTACAGCAATTTCAATAGCTTCGTTCTTCCTCAAAAGCAAGCATCAAAAGCATCACTTCCTTTGCACCTGCAGTGCATTCTTCCTTACGGGCAATGATGTGTAGCAGACACTCTCACCAGTGCCTCACAGAAACAGCAGCCCTGAACACAGACCTTTCAAGCAATGCTTATGCCAAAACAATATCCTCAAACCCGTACAAGATGTGAGGAAGCACTTGGCCCAATACAACTGACTTAGGTTAGAGCAGCACTTACAAGGTAAATTTGGTTTTGCCCAAACAGATACTACAGAGGAAGCAGGAGCTTAGAACAAGGGCTTTGGAGGCAGGCTGACTCAAATGCCAACCCAGCTCGACCGTACACTACTTGTGGGAACCTAGGTAAGTTATTTCACTTCTCCAAGCCTCAGTTTCCTTAACTGTAAAGTGGACAAAGTGACATTTAGCTCACAGAGCTGTTACAAGGAACATATACATACCACAATTCCTTACGGAGAATATAAGCAATGGGTAAGAATGAAACACCATCGCTCTTCTGCCAGCTTGTGGTACTGTGGTGGCTTGCATGTTGCTGTGATGTTGGAAGCTATGTCACCAGTATTTCAAATACCAGCAGGGTCACCCATAGTGGGCAGGTTTCAGCATAGCTTCCAGAGTAAGACTAGCAAGAAAGGCCTGGTGATCCACTTCTGCAAATTAGCTAATGAAAACCTCATGGATCACCATAGAACACTGTCTGACATGCCTGATTTGAACATGGCACCAGGTGTGATCAACTGCTAGAGGGGGATATTGTGTTTGGTGAAGCAGAGGGCCAGAAAGGGTAAGGAGACCCCTCTGTGAGAAAGGCTGGCATGATAGCCACAATGATGGACTTGAATATGCTGGCAATTGTGAAGATGACACAGGACCAAGCAGTGTTTTGTTCTGTTGTACAAAAGGTCACCCTAAGTCGAAAAGGACTCGACAGCAACTAACAACAAATAGAATCAGAGTGTTTTTTAAAAGTATTTCCGCCATTTTCGTTTAAGTCTCCAAATACCTTATATTCAGTTTTATATGTACAAGGCAAGATCCCAAAGGGAAGGGATGAAATTCTACTCACCCCTCTGACTTAGCAAAGCGTGTACAATTGGAAAACAAACATATAAACAAACAAATCTGTCACCATAGAGTCAATTCAGACCTCATGTGTTACAGAATAGAACTGAGCTCCATAGGATTTTCTTGACTGTAGTCTTTATGGAAGCAGATCGTCAGGCCTTTCTTCCAGGGCACCACTGGGTGTGTTTGAACCAACAACATTTCGATTAGTAGTCAAGTGCAAACCATTTATGCCACCCAGGGCCTGTGTGTGTGCAATAACCCAAAAAAACCCCGCTGCCATCGAGTCCATTCTGACTCATAGCGACCCTGTGGGACAGAGTGGAACTGCCCCATAGGGTTTCCAAGGAGCAGCTGGTGATTCAAATTGCAGACCTTGCAATACAGCTGACAAATACAAACTTGGTTTGTGCCATCTGAAAGAGCACCACCCAGAGGCAGCTGCTCTGAACGGACCCTCAACTGGACCTCAGAGCACTGCTAAGCACCTCAAACTCATTTTGAAATATAAGTAACAGCAGAAATAATAGTACTGTCTATACAAACCCTGGGATAAATAAAATGTGCAATATTGATTACAATTACAAAATGGTATTTAAAAATCACACTACACCTAGGAGACATCCGTTTCTTAAAAGAAAAAAAAGCCTGAGCAACAGATTTTTAGTTGCATTTTTTTCATTGAAAGTACTAATCAGTTCCATCAAACAAGCTTTAAAGGAAGAGAAACTGAGGAAGTAATCTTGTCAGTTGCAATCCATCAAATATAGGCTCTAACATTAGCTAAATACAGCTGTTCAAATACAATTTAAGAAGTATCAAAAAACTCTGAAAACACAACCAATAGCAGCAAAACGATGAACATTTGTAAACAAAACCACCAGTAAACAACAAAGAATCTCCATTCTTTTAAAGCATCAAAAATATACAATAAAGAGAAAATCGACCAGCTTTCTTTTTTCTAAATATACAAGGAAGGCCTGAGATCTTAAACAATGTTATCAATAACAGACACAAATTGAAGCTGTCATAAGGTGTATGAATAGTCTTTTCCACCACATTCGGGGTATCACGTCTCTGGGGAGGGCAAACTTTGCACGTGTCTTCTCCTCGCTGAGATCCTTGCGCACCGCGGGCACTCGGAAGACTGGAAGCACTGCTTGTGAAAGCAGGCTCTGCACACTGCAAGCAAGGACGAGAGGTCAACAAACGTGCGACCTTGTTTTCTACCGTCTTACACACACATCCCCATCCTGGGAGGGAGGGGGTCTGGATTGAATTGTGTCCTTTGAAAAGAGATGCTTAAGTCCTAACCCCTGTAGTTGTGGTGACCTTGTTTGGAAATAGGGTTTTTCTTTTGTATCAGTTAAGTTAAATTTGTCATACTTGAGTAGGGCGGGTCCTAATCCTAAACCCTTCTGAATAGTGTCTTATAAATGGGGAGAACAGATAAGGAAACAGTCACACACAAGGGGAAGACAGATGGTACATGATGAGGGAGTCAGAAGCATCTCTATGGAGCAAAGGAACACCAAGGACTGCCGGAAGCCACCAGAAACCAGGAGTGAGGCACGAAACAGTTCCTCTCTCAAAGCCCCCAGAAGGACTTGACCTGGCTGAGGTCCTGATTTGGACTTTTAGCTTCCAGAACTGTGAGAAAATAGATCTCTGTCCTTTAAAGCCACCCGCTCTGTGGTACTTGTTACGGCAGCACTAAGAGACTAGGACTCCAGGGTCTTCTAAAAAAAACAACAAACAAAAAACAGTCCGGCTGAAACTTACACGGATTATCAATCCCCCAACGGGTTTTGACATGAGGTCAGAAAGCCTGGTGTAGTGGACACTGCAGCGTGCCCCTGATCGCCCGAGGACCAAGGCATGCGTTCCCCAGCTGCTGAGATGCCGCTGGCTGCTGGCTCTCAGGAGGCCACTTCCCTTCTCTGGAAATGGCCCCAACAGGAGAGAGCTGCCTCACCCAAGGTCCGCCCCTTCCTGGGGACCAGCCTACACCCAGTGATTGTCAATGTGGGGTTTAAAGGCCCCCTCATCCCAATTTGGGACAATGCTGAAAGGCCATCCTGTCTCCAGAACTCCCTGGGAGATGGGCTGAGGCCTTCGCTGCACCTTCTTCCTGTGCCCAATCTTGCTGCCTTCACTCCCCACAGGTGTTGAGCCTGGAACATGAACCAGTGAACTTTCTGCACGCTTACACCTGCCCTGCGGTAATGACTAACGTACCAGGAGAGTCTTAGCCCCCTAGTGCTGCCACAACAGAAATACCACAAGTGGATGGATTTAGAGAACAAAAATGTATTTTCTCAGTTTAGGAGACTGGAAGTTGGAATTCAGGGCACTAGCTCTCGGGAAATCTCTCTCTGTCAGCTGTGGGGGAAGATCCTTGTCTCCTTCAGCTTCTGTAGCCCCAGCATTCCACAGTTCCTTGGTGATCCTCACGCGGCATCTGTCTTCCCCAATAATGTGCTTGCTTGTCTCTGTGTCTACGCTGCTCCTTATAACTCAGACGTGATTAGGTTTAGGATGCACCTTACACTGACATGGGCTAATTAACATAACAGAGAAAACCCTATTCCCAAACAGGATCACATCTACAGGTTTATGGGACAGGACTTCAACACATATTTCGTGGGACATGATTCAATCCATGACTGAGACAACCCTGGAGGGACCTCCAAGGCAGGCCTGCCCATATCAGGGGTGATGGCAGAATTCATGACCCAGCTCTCTCCCATAAACAGAGAGTAGAGAGCACGGAATTCCCTCAGGCACTAACACCACGGAACAAGGGTCAGCAATCCTTTTCTGTAAAGAGCCAGAGAGTAAATGTTTTAGGCCTTATGGGTGGTACGGTTTCCATAACAACTACTCAACTCTGCTGTGGGAGCACAAAAGCAGCCAGAGACAATACTTCAAAGTTGGCCTTGACTGTGTTCCAATTACAAAAGCAGGACGCGGGCCATGGTTTGCCTACCCCTCGTGTTGAAGAACTGGGCACAGGCATAAAAGGACTACCTCCTCTATCCAAACCCTGTATCATAAGGCTTCATCGTTTATCCCTGCCTCACGTAAAAAACAAAACTAGACCCACTCCCATCGAGTCGATTTCAACTCACAGCGACCCTATACGACAGAGCAGAACAGCCCCATAGGGTTTCCAAGAGCGGCTGGTGCATTTGAACTGCTAACCTTTCTGGTTAGCAGCCTGAGCTCTTAACCACTGCACCACCAGGGCTCCTGCCCATGGTGCAAATGGCTTGTGCTCAACTGCTAACCTAAAGATTGGTGGTTCAGACCCACACAACAGCACCAGGGAAGAAAGGGCTGGTGATCTTCCATTAAGATTACAGCTAAAAAACCCTATGGAGCAGTTCTACACTATAACACGTGGGGTTGCCACGAGTTGGAACTGACCCAAAGGCAATATAAGGAACATTGTGTGTAAAGGTACCTGAACATCTTCTACACGTTTCAGTCTGAAAGGGGAAGATGACAGCCGTGCTCCGGCAAAATTCACAAATGAAGCCCCTTCCTTGACAGAGCTGGGAGAGAAGGAGTCAACAGGTTAAAGTCCTCACTGCAAACGTCTCTCTAGATGGAGAAGCTGAGTTACCACTTTACAGAATTTCATAAACACCATTTTTTGAATGTCTATGATTCCAGCCTCCAGAAATGAATGGATCTTGTTTCCTACACAATAAATACAGGTTGATTCTGCATAGAGAAACTTCACATCAAGGCAGTTTGAGGCACCAGAGAAAGATCATGATTTTAACTGTGTTTTATTAGGTAATATATACATAATATTTGCTATTTTTGAGTGTACAAATCAGTGACATTAATTGCGTTCACCAGCATGTACAACCATCACCACTATTTCCAAATGTTCTTCCAGCTCCCTAAACAGAAACTCAGTGCCTCTTAAGTAATAACTTCCCATTCACTCCTCCTCTTCCCACCTCGGTCCCTTTCAACCACTAATAAACTTTTGTCTCTATGCATTTGCAGATAAGTAGGGTCACATACAGTATTTATCCTCTTGTGTCTGACTTTAAATGTGCATTCTTAAATGATCTTTTTTTCCTAGCTTCTACAGTACAATTCTTCTATGTAGACACAGAGCCTCCTGTTGGTTGATCCTGAGTCCACGTAGCTGTACTTGGCAGCAGAGGGCAGAGTAGGAATTGAAGGAGGCCCCAAGCAGGACCAGGCGCCCAGACTAAGAAGTCAGCTAACCTAGACTTGCATTCCCACTCTGCCACCTACCAGCAGGATGATCATGGTTCTGACCCTCAGTTTTCTCATCTGTAAATGGTGTTGCCAGCACTTCCCATGGGACTTGTGAGGGTTAAAGCAGGCAATGTGCAGAACACCCCAGCATAGCCCTGGCATATAAGGGACAGTTCAGGGATTCACCAGTCCCCAGCAAACCCTCACCTCACAGTTGGCCACGTGTGTAAGGGAAGCTTTCAGAAGCTCCTTCAGCAGGGGCGCCAGCAGCCTTCTCTTGATCCTGACCAGGTCGTCCAGGGAGAACAGGTGGTGCTCTTCAGTCAAGTGTCTCGGCACCTGCTCAAACTCCTTTAATGTGCTGCCAGAGAGGAAACAAAAGGGAATTCCAGAATCCACCCACACAGCAGTGAGGAGAGAACTGAGGCCAGTTGTCTTCTCCTGGCACTCACGCTTATTTTTTTAACTCAATTTAAAAAAAAAAAAAGAAATCTCCCCAAGAAAAACAGTTAACCTTGTCACCACCACTCTACATTTTGCAAGTTTGCTTGAAAGCCACAAAATTAAAATTCCATAGAAGCTTCTTTCAAAAAGCTGAAGAAGCAGAGAAATGTGTCCCTTGTAGCGTTCTCATGCACACATATAGCAAATGGAAACTCTGAACATTGTTTTCCAGGGTTTAAAAATGTGTAACCCATGAACTTCATCAACATTAAAAGCTTTTGTGCATCAAAGGACTTTATCAACAAAGTGAAGAAACAACTTACAGAATGGGAGAAAACACTTGGTAACCACACATCTGATAAGGGTTTAGGTTTAATATCCAGAATATATAAAGAACTCCTAAAACTTAACAACAAAAAGACAAACAACCCAATCAAAAAATGGGCAAAAAATTGAGCCCAAGATGGTGACTTAGGCTGACGCACCAGAACATCCCCCTACATCACAGACTTGAGAAACCATCTGCAACAGATACTGATGACAACCTTGGAACCCTGAACATCAAATGGAAGGATGAAGAATTAAACTGAGCTCCAAGTGGAAAGAGAGACAGAAAGAAAACCGCAGACACAGAGATACATGGATCCTTGGCGCCTTGCTAGTTAGCTTGGCACAGCATGGCCATCTTGGGTGAGGAGCACAGGAAGGCAACTGCACAGAATTCACAACAGGAAAAGAGATACTGTGTAAACAAACCTGGAATGAAACAAGGGGAGCAGGACACAAGCCAGGTCTAAAAAGGGAAAGTGCAGGAAGAGGCGGCAGGAGCTCCAGTGATCCTGCCAATCATGGAGAAGGGAGGGAGCCAGTAACTGGGGAAAGGTCTACTTGTCAGCAGCAGAGCCTGACCATTTGGCCAGGAAACAACCACTGAATAGTAAAACCACAGAGTAGCAACTAGAGGTCCCCCACCCAGCCAGCGTCCATGCCCCCCCATATTTAAATGGGCCAGACCCCAATTTCCTGGGGCAGGTGGGCAGGAGCACCCCTTTCATCCATGCCCAGGGACCAGCAGAAGCAAACCTGTGTCTGCTGCCTGGAGACCAGCAAGAGCATGTCTGCTGCCTGGCAACCAGCATGAGCACACTCTCTGCTTGGAGACCGGCAGGAGTGCACTTGCATCCACTGCCCGGGGACCAGAAGGAGTGCTCCCTTCCCTGCAGCCTGGAGACTGGCATGGGCATAACAGCTGCCCAGTGACTGGTGGGAGAACACCTACAGCCTGGCAACCGTAGAGCAGCAGGAGCACCCTGGCACCCACTGGACCAATGAGAGTGCACCTGTAGCCTGACAACCAGAGGGAGCACGACCAGCCCATGTCTGCTGCCCAGCAACCAGTGTGATCCCTCTATGCCTGCACAATAACCAGAAATTCACCTAGTGCCATTGCCCGGCAACCAGCAGGTGTGCCCCATGCCCTACCCCAGCAACTAGCAGATGTACCCCTGTGAACTCTTCCAATGATCACCCAGCATGGCTCAGCAGACACACTCTACCACCAGTGACCACCAGGTACATCCCAACAGATTCCAATGACAAGCAGGCACTCCTTGTGTCAATACTCAACGACTGCCAGGCTGCAACAACACCCATCCTACATGCAACCAGTTTCAGCAGGCCAACCCCATACACACTGAGACGCCTTGATCTCCCACCACCTACTGAGACACCAAAATTCATAGCTGCACAAAGGGCCTGCCCTGTCCATTTGAGTAGCACTGCCACCCTGTGTCTACAAAGATGACCTGTCTTGCTCTCTAACAGATGCACTAACTGCTAGCACCAACTCAGAAGGATCCCACAGTCCCACAAGGGACCTAGACCACCCCCAACACTTGTCACCCAATATCAGGGAAAGAACCTGCTATGCCACCTACACTCAATCCAGTAAGGGAAGACACACAAGCCTAACCACAGAAGTCTCACAAGCAGGAATGACCCACCATATCAATAAGTGAGAGGCAATCACGCCCAAATCACCAAAGTCATGCATAGACCATAACTACAAATGGGTATGAAGACATCCTGCCCTGACCTCCAGAGAATGCATTAACTGCTAGCACCAACTTGGCACCTTAATGCCTTGGAGACAGCAACAATATCAAATCATATAGAGAAGAGGGACAAGATGGCTCAAGCAAGTGACCAAAAAAAAGAAGGGGGCAGAAAAACTTCCTGAGGAAGAAATGGTACTGGAACTACCTGATAAGGAATTCAAGAAACTTACATAAAGGATCCTCAAAAAGATCAAGGAAAACATAGGAAAAACCAAGGAAACTCTAGAAGAATTCAGGAAAACAATATAAGAACAAAATGACAAATTAAGTAGACAATTAGAAATCATACAAACATAGCAACTAGAAGTCCTGAAGATTAACAATAAAATATCAGAAATAGCTAACTCAATGGATGGACATAGAAGTAGATGAAACAATGGAAGAAAGAATCAGCAAAACAGAAGACAAATCACTTGATACTAATTTATTTGAGGAACACTCAGAAAAAAAAAAAAATGAAGAAAGCCTAAGAGTTATGTGGGACTTTATCCCAAGAGGAATAATTTACACGTGATTGGAATTCCAGAACAGGAGGAGACAAAAAAAAAAAAGGCACAGAGAGAATTTTTGAATATTTACTCACAGAAAATTTCCCTGATACCATCAAAGACAAGAAGATTACCATACAAGAAGCTCAGTGAACCCCATACGGGATAGATCTCAAAAGAAAGTCACCAAGACATATCATAATCAAACTTTCCAAAACCGAAGACAAAGAAAGATTTCTGAGAGCTTGGGAGAAACAAAATATCACATACAAAGGGGCATCAACAAGATTATAAGTGTGGATTTCTCATCAGAAACCCAAATAGACAAGAAAGCAATGGAATGATATATATAAAACCCTGAAAGAAAAGAACTGCCAACCAAGAATCATATGTCCAGCAAAAACATCTCTCAAATATTATGAAAAACTTGGACATTCCTAGATAAAGAGAAGTTAAGGAAATTTATAAAAGGCAGACCAACTTTACAAGAAATATTAAAGGGAGTCCTTCAGACAAAGAACCAACATCAGACAACAACCTGAGATTAAGACACAGGACAGTATCACCCAGATACGAACCCAGATAAGAAATCTCAAAAGTTAAATAAAGTTACAAAACTGAAAACAGAGAACCAGAGATGTCAATTTGTAAATGACGACAACTTCAAAACAAAAAGGGGAATAAATGGTGTAGTTATAGAACTTCCAGATGCAGAGGAAATAAAAGTGATATCAAGAAATAACAGATTGTTTTAAAATCAGGAAGATAAAGGTAAATTTCAGAGGAACCACAAAGAAAATTAATAAACCTACTCACCAAAATAAAAAAGAAAATCATAAACACTCAGTAAACACAAAATCAACAACAATGAAGGAAATGAAAAGAAAATCCACAAACAAAAAGAACTCAGCACAGAAAGTTAAGTAGAACAAAGAAACCATCAATACCACAAAAAAAAAAAGCATAACAAAATGACAGCAGTAAATTCATACCTATCGATAATCACACGAGTGTAAATGGTTTAAATGTACCAGTCAAGAGATAGAGTGGCAGAATGGATAAAAAAACAGGACTCATCAGTATGTTGCCTACAAGACACACACCTTAGACACAAAAACATAAATAGGATAAAAATCAGAGGATAGAAAAAAGAAATACCAAGCAAACAGTGAGTAAAAAAGAGCAGGAGTGGCAATATTAATCTCTGATAAAACAGACTTTAAATCAAAATCCATCATAAGAGACAAGGAAGGGCATTATATAATGATTAAAGGGTCAATCTATCAAGAGGATATAACCATAATAATTATTTACGCACCCAAAGACAGGGCTCCAAAATACACAAAACTCAGACTAACAGTATTGAAAAGAGAAATAGACAGTTTCACAATAATAGTAGGAGACTTTAACACACCACTTTTGATGAACAACAGAACAATGAGAAAGAAATTCAACAAAGATACAGATCTAAATAACACAATCAACCAATTTGACCTCATTGACATATACAGAACACTCCATCCAACAGCAGCACAATACACATTCTTCTCCAACGCACATGGGTCATTCTCCAGAACAGACCATGTTTTAGGCCACAAAGCAAGCCTCAATAAATTCAAAAATATCAAAATAATACAAAGTATCTTCTCTGATCATAATGCTATAAGACTAGAAGTCAATAATAGGAAGAACAAGGAAAAAAATCAAATACATGGAAACTGAATAACACCTTGCTTTAAAACCACTGGGTAATAGAAGAAATTAAAAATGAAATTTAAAAATTCCTAGAATTAAATGAGAATGAAAACACAACATACCAATACCTTTGGGACACAGCAAAAGCAGTGTTCAGAGGAGAAATTATAGAAATAAATGTACACATCAAAAAAAAAAAAAAGGGCCAAAATCAATAGCTTAACCCTACAATTTGAATAGAAAAAGAGCAGCAAAAGAAGCCCACAGTCACCAGAAGAATAAAGATTAGAGCAGAAATAAATGAAACAGAAAAAAAGCAAAAACAAGACCAGAAGTTGGTTCTTTGAAAGGATCAATAAAATTGACAAACCACTGGCTAAACTGACAAAGGAAAAGAATGGAAGTTGCAAATAAACTAAATAAGATGGGTGATATTACAACAGAACAAACTGAGATAAAAAGGATCACAACATAATATTATGAAAAACTGTACTACAATAAATTTGAAAACCTAGAAGAAATGGACAAATTTCTAGAAAAACACTACCTACCTAAACTAATACAAACTGAGGTAGAAAATTTGAACAGACCCATAACAAAAGAAGAAATTGAAGAGG